TGTATTCCTTTTAGGCTTTAAACTTATGATGCCCGGTGAGTACTATAAATCTACTTCTATTGATTACGTTTGGGATAGCTTTCAGACAAGACGTATTCACAGTAATTTGTGATCATTAGATTGTTATGACAAATAAATAATCAGAACAAGTTGATTTTTGAGAGAATGATTGCTATCGCTGACTTCTTCTTTTTCTTCTTCAGGCTGTACAGTTAAAACCACTATATACTACTGATTGGTTGAGATGAGTAGTAATATAGCACTTATCTCAAACATTAACGCTTGCTAACCAGAACAAAGTGATGATTTGCTCATTTGCGGTGGAGCTCATCACTGATGTACCATGTCTGATTCAGTTGAAACCACCTGATTTCTGACTAGCTACTTGGTCAAAATGTTAACTCCATAAATCAGATTAACACAGTTCACAGGGGTGAAAATCCACCTCTGGAAACCAAGTTATTCAGATCACAGTGTATGGTCTGTTTGATGCCAAGATGGCAGTCAAGAGGGTATTTGCATTTGAGGTAAGTCAGACCAGGTCCACCGCTCACGAGCAAAACGGCCATCCCGTGTTTAGATCACCTCCATCTGACTAGCAAGCACTAAGGGTTGATATGAGCGGTATACAACTGCACATCTCAGCTAGTCAGTAGTACGTAGTTTTATGTAAATATGCTTACCTTTTTGATTACTTTTTATGATATCAAACAAGGTAAGGTTTCATTACTCTCAAGTCTGTGTGGAGATCAACACTCAGCAGTCAGCATGAAAAATAAGATGGGGATTTTCATATCCAACGGATGAGAGACTTGGCCAGCACGTCACGAAGGCCACTTCGAACAAACTACACACCTTCATCAACAGTCGTCTTCGCTCAATACTCAAGATCAGATCAGCAACAAGGAGGAATCTCTGGGAATGAACCAACCCACCGGGAACCAATTGTGCAACAAGTATGCAGGAAGAAATGGAGGTGATTGGTCATACTCTAAGGAACTGTTGATGTAATTTTTAGTTTGATATTATTATTATTTAATAGGACCACTAAAATATTAGAGAATATTCGTCTTTTCCCTGCTCATGGAACATTTCGTGACAGCGCGTATCTCAACGAAGTATTGTCGGCTATAAAGCGGGATGTAGAGATCAGTTTCTTACGTTCAGATGACAATCGAATTAATGTCATCTCTAAAGTGATTGTCAATAAAATTTCCTGGTGATTGACGAAAAACCCTGATAAAAAACCGTTTTCCGCCTAGGTTCATAGACAAGAATCTAAAATCAAAGAATACTTCCGAACAAGTCCAATCCGTCCCGAAGAAGATGCTTCTGCTTAATCTAGAATTCAAAGGTGACAATGAAGAAGAAATCCTTCATAAACGCTTCTGCAAACATACTTCGCCACAAGCCTACGACTGACAATTTACTGCTAGAAACTGTTCAGCCAGAACGCGAAAGATAAGCTGTTACATTGGGCCACTTCAACGTGCATATACCAGTTTATTTGCTCGTGCAGAGCTGAGTACATCGGACGTACTAAGCGGCAACTTGAAAAACGTACTCGTGAACACTATCCAGCCTGGATAGTCAAAGGAGAACGAAAACATGTACATAGTTCAGTGACAGAACATATGGTCGATTCTGGACATTCCGCGCCTTTTGAAAAATCCTTCATAGGGAGTAAAACTAAGACATCTGAGTATAGCTGAGGCACTAGCCATCCAAAAGCTTAAACCCACGCTATGTATGAGAAAGAAATACGTCCAACCCTTGTCCCTGTTATGGCCATCATAAGCAGGTAATTCTTCTAATAGTGACTATCCCATTGCCTTTCTTATCCAAACACATTTTATCTCCAATGAACTGAAGTATATCAAAATTGTAATAAAACTACTAACTTTCATTATTCTGGTTGTTATCAGTTAACGAGAGATTCCAACAAAGTAAAACGGATCCATTGTATCTTATTCTGTATATTGCCATTACTTATAGTATAGGGAAAATATAATTCATTAATGTCAATATTTATTCATGTAGCATTCCAAACTGGTTTATTTCACACTTATATCATTCCCTTCTTCTTGGTAACAGTAATAATCCTACTTATCTAATTACAACAAACGAAAGAATTAAACCAAAGGCATAATTAATTCCTTACCAAACTACTCTATGCTACTGTTTCCTGTGCGACGATTCATGCTACTTATTAATAGTAAGTAGTATAAGTTAATGTGTGTTAGTGTTAGATTGCATACCAACGATTCGAGTCGTTTTCAGTTCGATCTCTAGCCAATGCACCTTTATGCCTATTATGCCTATATTAATTCACTTACAATGGTTAAAATGTATCTTCAGCACATGCTTCTTTTATGTTTCGCTCTATCGTTTGTTTGAACCTTCCATGAAAAGTGTTAACGTCCCCAAACAATCTGCTTATAAAAGAATAGAAGTACTTTAGACGCCGCTGCCATGTTACATCATGGTATTGTTTCCTCCTTAAACAAAGGGCACATATATGTAAGATATACCAACCTTGGCTGCACAACCGCCTTTGACTATATTCCCAGATGTCTTTTGTTAAATAAGCTTTCTCTGACATAAATCGAGTCATCAGCTGTTAGATGGTTGCATTCTTATTTGTCTAACAGAATACAGTATACTTTATATAAAGGCAAATCTTCCTCTGCCTTGTTTACTGAAGCTGGAGTCCCTCAAGGTGCTGTTCTTTGTTCTCTTCTTTTTTCTTTCTGTTTACATGACTTACATCTTTCGGATGAAATCACCTTCGTTAAATACACCGATGACTGACTGTCTCAATGCCAGTTACGTCCCGATCTGACAGCTCCAGACTAAACTGCCTCTTACCGAACATCAACCAGTGGTCCAAGTTAAATGGTCTTACTTTAAATCCCTCCTAATGTCAGACCATTAGCGTCAACTTTAGGCATAAATGTGATCTACACGAACTGGTTATTTCACATGATGCTTTTAGCATAGACGGCACTGAAATAGAAACTAAATCAAACATTAAATACCTTGGAATAGTTATATCCTCTCATATCTTGTCGATTTCTAAGAAAATATTCCGTCTAACCTTCTACATTAATAAGTTAAAACAATCAGGAATCACTCAACCTCTACTTTTGCAGTTTGTTGGATCTTTCGTCTTACCTATTGTACTTCACCGCTTCCCCAAAGTCTTTCATGGGCTATTCACAAAGGACTGTGTCATATTCCGAAGGGTATTAAAGGTTGTTAGCCGGGTAAGTGGTGTGCCATTCGTTACTACCGTATCATAAGTGCTGTTTTGGAATGAAACAAATTATTATTATTACTTTTCTAACCTTACTCTGTTCATTTTTGCGTTCCTTATTTCTAACCGTGGATTATTCTGATACAACTCCGTTCTTTATTACTTTTTTGATGCTCTAAAACAGTGTTTTTTTTACCATATCTAACCTAGACACCTCACAATTTGAGATCTGTGATTTGTTCTTAGTCATTTTTACCTGTAAATATATTACCATACTATAGACAAAAACTTTGCTGACAAGGTTAAAAAAGCCAGCAATCCAAACAAACGACAGCATGAATGTCCTAATGACGTCCAGCCAGAGTTAACCGGGATAATTCAGATGAAACAGAAATATTCAAAAAGATGTAGAATATTAAACGGAATACGTTTATTTGTAGTCTTGCAAGAATAACTCTCAGTTTCTCATAGCAGTGTCAACATTCATGTGACTGAATGCCATTTAGCGTTAAGATTCTGACGCTATCTTGATATAGAGTTAGGTTATGGGTAGATTTGTGTTCGGGTAAGATTAGATTTGCAACGAGGTAAGGGTATAGTTAGATGAATAAGAATTTATTGAATAGTGCTTTTGTCTAAGGTAGTTTTATGTATGATATTTTCCTATTTATGTCTAAATAGGTTCATTATTAATAATAAACTAAAATTATATGTTATAAGTTCATTGTTACCTCCTGAAACTCTAGCAGGTCACCTGAAGGTAAGTCGGTCACTCGTTCGCTTCAGTTACTATTCTTTACCTCTATCCCTGTGATATAAAGTTTACGCGTAACTCAAAAGAAAGAGAGGCTATTTAACTTCTGGATTACGTTCTGTATTTCTCAGAAGTAATCTATGGGTATGTCGCGATAAACCCAGTTTACCATGCAATTTCGCAATATGAATAACATCCTACGATATACTAGAAATCGGTTTCAAATCAGTTTTCAATGCTTCTCTAACAGGTATCAATCTGTGGTCAAACTGGTATAAAAAATCTAATCCTTGCAATTCAAACTCTTGAAAACAAGAATTAAAGCCAAGAAGTTCAGAAAATGAAATATCTAGTCAAAATTCACCTAATAATGCTGTCTGTCTTTGAAAAATTTCCCTTGCATAACAGATAAATGCAATAAAATAAATGACGGTAAGATGAAATGGCGTGAAAATACTCCACTTCTCCTAAAGTTATCTATTTCAGACATCTTATACTAGACGGTGAACAATCGACAATACAACCAATCCTGTGTCAGTAAAAATATACACAGTTTTAAAGGTAAATATAACTCAATCAGTTTTATCTAAACACTAGTTCATAACCAATCAAGAAAGTAGTCTAATTCTATTTTTGAAAAATACAATCACAAGTTGATAGACAGACATCAGATAATCTAAAAGGTGTGCATGTTATATCATCCTAAAAATTCAGTAACACGTCTTTATAACCATCATTTGGAAGTACCATAAACACCGTCTACATTGTCATCATCTCCTACTGTAATAAAAGCGTCACTTTTTCAAGCCCAGACTACAAGTCTTCTCCTTACTTCTCTCCTGAAAGAATGATATTAGATATAATTATGATTAAAAATCTTGTGGAAAGATGATAATAATAAGTGAACAAAGACTTCAAAAGTTCCCTTTGAAAACATCCAGTTTCATTTGCCTTTTAATTGGATTCCCGATCGCCCTAATTACAGTCAATATGATTCTTGTCACAAAACGAGAAATTCCACACTTTCAAAATATTTATCAAAATATAGATGGAAAGTTAAGTGAAATTTGTGAGCTATTTTTAAACACAATACCAAATCAAACATTTGCAAAACAATATGAACACTATTCAACTGAAAACCATCGCTTAAACAAATGGATATCAATGGGTAACTGTAAATTCCCTTTGAACACTTCAAAATATTCATTTTGGTCTAGTGAAGAGGAAATGAATTTTCCAATAGGATTTGCTTTTGCAGTTTATGAAGATATTGATCGTATAGCTCGTCTACTACATCTATTGTATAGACCGCATAATTTATATTGTATACATGTGGATCGTAGTACTTCAACGAATTTTATCAATCAATAATCCACCTGGCTAGTTGCTTTGGTTCAAATGTTCAAGTGATTAATCGTTCACAGAGTATTACAGTTAAATGGGGTTATTTTTCTGTATTAGATTCATTTTTAAAGTGTACACAATTAATGCTGAATAATACAGAAATTCATTGGAAGTATGTATTGAATACAAATGGAAAGGAATTACCATTACGTACAAACTGGGAATTAGTTAAAGCTTTGAAAGCTTTAAACGGAGCCAATGTGATAGGCGGTACAATAAAAAATGGACCAAAAAGTAGAATTCCTAAGAGGAAACCATCTTTTAATGTAAGTTTATGTTAAAGTACGCTACAAGTAATTTCAGCACCAATAATGAAATAAGTTTATGATACGTCCTGTTGTGTATTGAGTACAAATAAGCCTAAGACAGTCAAAAGACAAAAGGGGTTTTATATTTTGAATTTTATAACTGCAAGGTAAAACTCACTTAGGTGAAACTGATTCTTCAAGATGATGTCTACATAGCAAACGTAAGTAGGTAGTATGTAGCAAATCTATAAGACGCTTATTGATAATTATGTTATATCTAAATACAATTTGTTGTATTCTCAAGGTGTCCTGGAGAAAATAAAAGACGCACTGGATGCGGAACTAAGCCAGCCGGAACAAGCTGGATTCAGGAAAGGCAAATTATGTGCTGATCAAATTGCAACTTTACACGCCATCACCATTGAAGAAAGCATAAAATTTCAGTCAAACCTCTATGTGAACTCCCCCGACTTCGAGAAGGTCTTCTCACCAGACAGTGTTGACCGAGAAGTAATTTGTAAACTGTTTCAACACTATTGAGTGTAGTGCCCAAGTCTTTATCAACTTCATTCAACAGCTGGCTATATAACAGTCGTATGTGTCAGGTGATCCACAGTGGAAAACTTAGTGAGGCTTTAGAAATGAAGGCTGCCTACCTACTATCACCGATAATATTCTTAATTGTGGTGGACTGGATTATGCGCTGGACTGTGCTTGGGAGTGAGCAAAACAGGAATACGTGGGACCACTGATAAGAGACTCTAGGTGATCTGGATTTCGTAGATGATCTATGTTTAATGTCACACAAACTCGAAGACTGGCAGGCAAGAGCCAACAAACTGACTGAAGAGGTAGGCAGCGGAAAGATGACTCAAGGTAAAAATGTAGAGGACGGATGTGATGGAAATAAACAACCAACGAACAGCAACTGCACAAGCAACAACAACCAACACTAATCACCACCAATGGAAGAGATTTGACAAAGGGTCTATTCCTCCCTTCACTTATCTGGCCAGGAAGCACGGTTTCAACCACAGGCAGTCGGACAGCAGGGATGAAGATGTTAATGCAGGTCAGTCAGAATCGGAAAGGCAAGATACGCCTTCATCAACCTAAAACCAGTTTGGAAATCTTCTGCACTGCACTCAGCCAATATAAAGAACAAGATTTGAGTTGTCAAAACAAATGTAAAGTCAGTCAGTTATTCTATACGGGTCACAAACTTGGCCAGCGTGTCACGAAGAGGACTTCCAAGAAGTTACTGACTTTTATCAATAGCTACCTTCACTGGCTTCATATTGAAGATCAGATGGCCGACTGATGAGAAAGAATTAGCAAGGAGAAACTCTGGCTGGGAACAAACTAACCACGAGCCGACTGCTCAACAAGTATTCTGAAGAAAATGCAGATGGATCGGGGGAACCGTCGAATAACATTGCGCGCTAGGCCACAACCAGAGTGAAATCTCAGTTGTAAAGGAATAGTAGGTCGTCGCTGCAAGGGTGACATGGAGGAAATCGTTTGGGGAGGAGGATGTGAGAGATCATAGTCAGCCATGGGCCCAGCTAAAGAGGATGGCAGAGAATAAAACAAAGTGGGGATGTGTTTTTGAAGCGCTATGTTCCACTCAGAACCCAATGGAACAATAATAATAACTGGTGCGTCAATTGATTTCAAGATTGATTTCGTACTAAAATCATCTTCTGGATAAGATGAAAAGTCTTGGCCAATAGCCTTCACGTCTTCATTTTTGAAAAGTATGAGAAAAACTTCTAATACTTGTTCTTAAACCCTCTCTAGAATCTCTCAGTGACTCCAAGTAATTTGCCTGTAAATGCAGTGAAAGAATTTTACTTGCTAGCACTTCACATCGATGTGATATTGTTTCTAGTCTAAACAAAGGTGCGAAGATTGTTCGATTCTCCTTTTTATACCACACTACTATTTTTGATTCCATTCCTGTGAGCACTTTTAATAAGTGAGCTTAACTCAGTGAGCAATGAGCCCGGGGTAACGAGTCGGTTGTCTTCCCCTGTCTGGGGCAGAAAACAACAGACCACATTTTATGGAAGCACTTAACTTCCTTGCTTATTGAAGCTGGTAGGATTCAAGGTGCTATACTTCCTGCATTTCTTATTTTTTTCAATTTATATTACATTCTGCATTCTTCTGAAGTTAATTCAATTAAATGTGCTGATGATCTGACAATATCTGTCTCTGAGTTGCTGTTGCATTAGATTGTTCTGATGTACATAGTTTCCTATTTGAGGTTAATCAATGGTCTTATTCAGATGGTCTTCAACTGAACCCCATCACATGTCAGACTGTTAACTTTAATTTGAAGAATGAGCAAGACCTGCATGAGCTGATTCAGCCCCATGATTCTTGCAATATCAACGGCATCTTGGTAGTAAATAAATTAAATGTTACCTGTCTTAGTATCAGTGTTGGTCGTCTGATATCTTGTCTATTTCTGAGAAAATCTTTCAGTCGACTGATTGTATAAGGAAACTGACACTTCCTGGTATAACTCAACCTCTTCGCTTACAATTTATCAATTTATCTGTTCAACCTATTTTTCTTTACTGTTTCTCCTTGTTAATTTTCTGGCTTCTTAAAAAAGACTATGTCATATTTTGTAGAGCACTAAAAGCTGTAAGGGGAATTAGTGATGTGTCTTTTACTTAACTAATACTGGAACTATCATTGATTAACATTTTAATTCCTTGCAAGCAGTTAGCTAAAGTCATCTTGTCTGATACTGAACGTCTGTTCGTGTAAAAGTAGAAGTTTCATAAGAACTTATGTTCTTACAGTAAAATATGTAAAAATTCAACCACAGTATATTTAGTGCGGGTTTTGTATGAAAAGACAAAAGAAAAAAGCTTGCAAACTTTTTAAATCAGTAACTTAATGGCAAGTTGTAACCAGAATCACTATTACAAATATTGTTCCTCCATTAAATTTAAGTAGTTACGATTTTAGTATTTTTCGCTACATTATATATTTACAGAAGGAGATAAACGTTGCGATATGTACAACACTAAAAATCTCATTGTGTTTGAAAAATTACTGCTTGGAATAAAGTGAATATTTACTAGTCAATATCAGTAGAAGGATGAGTGAAAGCCAGAGAGCTGTTTCCTTTCATTTCCAGACTCCTAAAACCGTCTGCAACAATTTAATTTTTTTTTATTTTTTGATTACAGCTTGATTCCACACCGTATTCTCAGTACAAGTATGGAATTTTCAGCGTGGATATCGGTAGCCCAAAATTCGCAGGCCGACCATAGATATCAGGTGTGCGTCGGCGAGGGCTCGAATCCTGGACCATGTGCATGGTCGGCGAGAGTCCTAACCACTGTGCCACCGACACACAAGGGGTGTAAAGGAGACCAAAAAGCCTCATAATAAGCCTATCAAGATGTCTTCTTGGAGAGAAACTACAAATATAGTCGAGTCCTCGTAATTCTCACACTTCAATTTTTGTCTTATGTCGCCTGATGAATAGATTTTGGTCTGTTTCGTGAAGTTCAGATTGAGTATAGGTAGTCGGAGGTGTAGACCAATTAAGTAGTGGTGATAGTTATTCATGAATAACGGTAAGTGGTGTAGATGATATTTCGCTACCGAACAAGTGGTGGAATAGGAATCCGACAACCCGTAGCTAGAGTGAGCAGATATAGATTTTCAAGGTGATTGTATAATGCCAATTAATTTTTAGTGCTTTTATAGATCATAATGGTCTGTAAGGAAATGTAATCTGTAATTCTAGATAAATTTAAGACTCATATACCTTTAAAACTAATATTCATTTAAGTTTAATAACTTTCTTTTTGTATGTCTCAACAGACCCGGGGCAGTGGAAATCTATACCACATGCCATCAGTTCATTAATGTATTTCTACTAAATAATTATAATAAATATAGTAAATATCCAACGGAAGTTTTGGGAAGTATCACAGATTACTTCAGGTTATTTTATCTCATGCTGGCTAAACCAGCTTATTTTGATAGATTAATCAAAGGCTTAAGATAAAATAAAACCTTAAGTTACTAAGGACAAAGAACAAATCCCTCATATTCTCAACAGTTATAACACTATTCTCCTCACTAATCACAGTGTACATGCACACATATCTACTTGTAACATGAACCATTTCAAATTAGTAGAAGTTAGATTTCATGGGCCACTGAGTTGGATCCCAGTGGCTGAATGGTATACGAGACAGATTGCCTTGTGACCGGAAGGTACTTGGTTCGAACTCTGGGGATGGGTGCCTACTGCTGATGATTTCCAAACTACGATGAAACAGTTGTCCAGTATTTCCAGCTGGTTTTTGATGGTTCTCTAACTGATGGTATCAATCCGTGGTCAAACTCGTAAAGACAAATTCAATCTTTACAAACCAACTCTTGAAAATAAATTTACCTGTATAGATTTTCATCGAATCTACAAAATGTTATAACTCCAGTCGAACAACAATCTGGACACTGTTGTGTTTTTTTGGAAGTCAAGACATTTACTATCTTATCAAAATATGAATTGTAAGATTTGTAATAGTGAAGTGTCAGACTGATAAAACTTTATTATTATTATTTTATTCTTTTAAGTTCCCAGTGGAACATAGGAATTCAAGCTAAACGCTTGAAGTCTTGGGTAACTGTGGTGTTTATTTCTGCGGGATGGGCGGATGGGCTAACTCATGCCCAACCTTCCCTCTTTACCAGTCTGATTACTGGCTTAATGAGGCAAGGAGGTGTGTCGGCCGGGGATCGGACCCCGAAGAGCATGCCTTGTTGGCGTGGATTCTACCGCGATGCCACCGATCCACACCGATAAAATTTAGTGAAAGTCAAAAGCCAGTCATAAATCCTACTTTTGAATAACACTCCGTTACTACTATGACAGAGTATACTGGGTTGCGGAGTGGTATAACCTGACTAGAATACGTCTCGAGACACGACACTAAAACCGAGTGACCACTTAAAAATATCCTCTACACTAAGGCAGATATAAAATTTAGTCAACCATGACAATCCCTTTATCAGACAAAATATATGCTATATCATACTTACATAACCTCGGGAACTTAAGGCATAAATAAAAGAATCAGGTTATCATACCAGTGCATGCATAAATCGTGACTTCAGGGCAATCAAAAGAAGCCACTGCGTCATTTTCATATTGACAGCCTCAGCTTTAACTGGTTTACATCAAAAATATTGGCTGTGGTGCTATTTTCCAGAAGGTGCTTTCACATGGCTTTGTTTCTAATACACGTGTATTTTTTTTTGCTATATTTCCTTTACATTTAACAAGGTTACATGGGTAAAAGGAAGCTTTTTGGTTGCATTACGCCGAGAATTCGTTCAATACATACATACCAATCCAAAACCAATTGAATTATTGAACATTTTAAAAGGAGAAGAACATTTGAAAAAAATTCCGATGAAATGTTTTTCAGTACTTTAGCTTATAATCCACAATTGAATGCTCCCGGTGGTTGTAAAGAATTTCACAGTCCTAAAGATAATGATACTTCGTCAAGATTGGTATCACGATATGTTATCTGGAAACCGAAATATTGTGCCACTGGCAAGAGATATCATACAATCTGTATGTTAGGTGTACAGCATCTTTATAATTTAAGCCGACGTGAAGAATTTTTCGCCAATAAATTTTACACTGGTTTCTATGATACAGCATATGATTGTCTTGAATATTGGATATTAAAAAAGATGAAAAATGAATATTTAACTGGCAGAGTTGACGCTACATTCAATGTTCAATTTTATTCTGAATTATATTGTTCCAGGAATCATAACTAATCATGTATTGATTTGTATATTTTCTGTTTGAATAGAGGCTGGGGATGATGTTGATGATACCGACGAACAAGAACTTTGTGTTATCGTTCTTTTTCAAATATTACTTTAACATATTATGATGAATATTATTATATCATCAGGGTATATACATTGTTAACTGCCACTGAGAGGCCTATAATCTTTACCTTTAGGTCTGTCAACTCAGATTTGAATATTCTTCTGAAGTTCCTCAATATATCACTAGGAAACCAGTTAATTACGCTTCTTGAATGACTTCGAGCTCGTTCCCGGTAGGCTTCAACTAGAAATAGCTCTAAGAATTACTGTGTGTCCATCTCTCCTGTTAGACTTGAGTTTTAGCCACACTACCTGCTGATTCTTTAAGCTAGCCCACCTAAACTGGTGGCCAAGCTGTTCTTGACACTACACCTAACTACAGAAAGGAAGAATATCTGACGATGTTCCTGGAAATTTTGCAGATTACTTTAAATATACAATACTAGAGAGATTTCAGTTATTCCATAAAACTTATTGGTATTTGGAAGTCCCACAATTAGAAGTGAAAATTCACCAAAGTCTCCTTTGGAAACCGAAATCATCCAGACCACAATAAACTGTCTGCTTTATATGACCAATAATAATCAAGAAAGCAAGCGTAATCATATGATGACATACAGCACTGACTGAGATGTATAGCTGGAAAGCACTTATGTGAAACAGCAGTGCTTGCTAGCCACATCGAAGTGTGATCTGTAAAACCATCTCACCTCTTTGGCGTCGAGCTCATCAACAGTGTACCAGAGTCGACTCATCCCAGAGAATCTGTTTAGTTCAAACCACTTGAATTTTAGCTAGCAAGCAATGTTGGTTAATGTGAACGGTCTTTAACTACTGATATGACTCAGTAGTATGTACCGTCAGGTACTAAAACTTCGGCATAGTTTAAGCTATTCATATTATTTAATATTTTTACCTAGGGACATATGCACCCCCTTTTGCCCTAACAGTGAGTCATCAAAAGAAAATACTTATGAGCCAGTGGAAATTTATTTTTGAAAAAATTAAAAAGAACAGATTAACTGCATGTAAAACTGTATTATTCCAAGCTTTCATACCTTCTTCATTGGGGTAACATCCTTTTATGACAACCTGTAGATTTCCTATAGACTAATACTGTAACAACAGAAGACAAGGGCCAGGCAACAGATCGCTTATTAAGGAAATCAACACATATTTATAGATTTTCTTGTATATATTATAGATTATTGTTAGCAGAAAGACAGTCTTCTGATTGGTTGATTCTTACATAAAGTTAACCTTTCACCTCTTTGTGGCTGTTTCTTAAATGTCAGATCATCTATATGTTAACTGTATCCGCCTACGCAAAGCCTTTGTTCTCATTTTTCTCACGACTAATATTGGGGACATAAACATTGACGTAAATTATTGTCTACCGCTTTTGACTAACAGCCACCTCTCACCAAAATACTACTGCTGGAGATATCTACACCACTCAACATAGCGAACGATATCTGGATTTTCAACGCTAATATCAAGTCAGTGTTTATACAGGGTTTACAGATTTGGCGCACTCGTTACCGAAAGCATTTCCAACAGCCTGTAGCAAACTTTTAATACCACCTGCCTTCACTCGCCCAGTAGTGAAAATTACATGTCAGAGAAAATGGGCAACAAGGAACTCTGACAGAGGATTAGCCAACAGACTATGGTTTGTCCAGTGAACATGCAGAAGAAGATAGAGATTGATTTAGTGACATCACATGCTGACGAACGGAACCTGAATGGGAGGGATAGGTTAGTTATGGATCCTATAGAATCTTAGAGATCATATTAAGATAAACGTTTGTGGATAGTTATGGAGCCAAATGAAAACGATGGTAGTGGGCCAAGTGGAATGAAAGTGTCCCACTTAGACTATGCTGTTTCATTCGGAATCCATGGAATGAATAACAATACCTCAATTTACACTTCTGGCTAGGGAAGGCATTAGCTCGAAATCTGTGAAACACATTCTAGACACCTAATTCAATTTAACGATGATGGGAGGAAGGATTTATCCCATCGGTGTCTTAATCCTCCTGTGAAATTTGACATAATAATGCAAATAGATGAAACAAAAAAAACTAAACACTTGGAGTTGTACATCTCCATTGATTCCTCTTTAGTGACTAATTCATGTTCATATTATGGATTTTTTTAGGAGGATTTAGATTAGTTTCAGTATAAATTTCGTCATGAACCAACACCACATGGAAATCATTGAAAACCAGAGGACATTGGAAAGCTGTTTTATCCACCTTTGGGACTCTTCAACTGTGCTAACCCACGACCCCACTAAGGACTGGACCTACAGGGTACGAAGCATACCCGTTAAGCATTCTGTCTCTTGGGTCTGTATTCAATGACCTGTTTATTCTAGCTTATTTCATTTAGGCATATAGCCGTACCATCGACTAACATCCACTTCACCCTGGTGTGGTCACCCCTACTGCCCATGACTTCTGATTAAAACTACAGAACATTTGTCTAATGGCCATTAATAATTTGAAGGTCGGTATTCAGACTCTGGGTTTTACATATAGATTTGCATTAATTTCGGTGTAGATTTCGACACAAACTGAGATAATTTAGTGAATCACTGGAAATTTTCAAGTTTTGGTTTTGTAGGGATATTTTTTGTTTGATTGGTTGGAAGATATCACCATGAGCTGACATCAGTAAGTGAACGATTGGAAAACCATCTGGGAGTACTGGACAGCCAGCTGCTTCATCCTAGTTTGGGACGCTTCAGCAGTAGACACTGTGGTTACACCCCAGGACCTTGTGGTTACAAGGAGAACTGGTTGGAGGATTTCATCATGAGTTGACGAGGAATCGCCGGGCATTGAAATGAGTCCTAACGGTGCAGTAGATGCTCATATAATACCTTTTTGTTTAGTCAGTTATATAAATATATGTCTAAAATATTTTACTTTGAATAAGAGAATTATGTTTAATAATTTCTATATACCATAAGACATTCGATATATGAGAGATGTATAACAGTCCAAAGCTACGCATCACTTCACATAGAATAAGCAACTCGTAGTAGCTAAATAAACATAAAATATCTGTTCTCTGATAGATTAAGGGTCGAAAATAGTTATTTTTCTGTTATACAGGAGATAAATAATCCATATAATAACACAATACACACACTTTTGTACTTTGTCTTGAACACACTTTATATTTTAGTAATTGTATGTGTAAAGTTCGTAGTCACGAACAGTTTTTTAAAGCTATCAGAACAATCGATAACTTGTGATGTGAAAACCTCGATGAGACTGTTACCTGATGCTCATGATGTAGTAATAATGTTAATCCGTCCTACTTGAGACAACTGACTTCAATTGATTTACACTTAAGTTAGTGAAGTTCCTCTAGTTTCCCTCATTTCAGAAAGACTATCTTTGATATTTTCTCGACGGTATGTCAACTTCTCTATGTACTAAGTCATGGATTCAAGTGTGCGTAGTTAGTAGTTTTACAAATATCTGTTAATTTCATATTTCCTGTTTTACCAATTTATGCTGGACCAAAAGGATAGGTCTTTATTGACAGTTCTTAATCATAGCACAGACGGTCCGAAAATATGTGTAGGCTAATACGTTATCTAGTAGATGGTGACTAGTAGAGAAATCCAAGATTCTCATTTTGTGCTATTCAGGACTCTTCACTTGCATATGCCTTCATCCCAAGTCAGTGATGGTATTCCCGCTGAGACTTGAACGTAACATCCATCATCTCAAATGCTAAATCATTATACACTAAACAATTGGGTCAACAGAACAACCTCTTGTGTAATGAGTATGGGTGTATAATGCTTTGGAGTCTAAAGTGATAGGTTCTAATTTTTAGTCTAAGTGGAAATACTTCGGGTGAAGATACATCCAGATAACAGATAGTGAATAAGGCCGAATGTACATCTTGGATCTCACATCAAATAAATAACACTAACTTTTACTAATAAGCACATTAATCTACTTGCTGACATCCTTCATAATAAAGGTTTTCTTGTATTTCCCAGTGAATGAAAAACAAAACGATATTACTGCTTTTACTGACGTTTCGCTATTTAATGCTAATAGCTTTATCAAAGTATTATTAAACCAGAATTTACAAAATTTCAGCTTAGATATAATAACTTAGTCATCGTTCCTCAACATGGGGTCATTTTTGCGTTGTCAAGTTGGCTAATCAGGTGTAGATTGTTGGATTCGATAAGTGTATAAAATTATAAAAGCAGCATATGTGTTTACATGATAAAATTGCTTATCACATTCGTGTTGATTTTGTCATTTTGTGAGGGAGAGCGGTGTTGTAACCAGGTAAAATCCTGTTTAAGTTCATCATTCCTATTTAGACAATTTGGATTCCATTCGGTGATTTAAAGTCCTTCTGATATCAGACGTTCTTAGTGATCGCTCAAATTTTTTCTGGATGGTTATTTCAATACCGTCTAAATCAATTTTGTGGCCTGATTCAATAGTGTGTAGATCCATGGCTGATGATTTTCCAAGCTTTTCTAGTTCAACTGGATTTCTCGGAGGTCGAACAGATGCTCTGCGGTGTTCATTTCTGATT